TCCTGACAACCAGAAGTATTAAAACAAAAAATTTTTTTACATGAAATATAAATGTAGTACATAAACAATACAATGGGAAATGATGAATGAAACATTAACAGCATAACACTTACCTTTATTGGAGATTCTTCTTAGAGTATGGGAGACTGGAGGAGGAGAGAGAGTGGATTGTTTACAGTTTGGAAGGGGAATCCCCTTCCAGCAACACCTCAGGTACCAATTGCTTCTCTGGGGTTGCTTCTCTTCTCTGTTTCTTAATGCCACTAGGACCACCTTGAGAGTCACTCTAGTCCTGTCTCGCAGAGTAACTGTGGAGAGAGCTCTGTTTCTGGCGTCTCTTTAACACTTCCCTAAAATGGCCCAAGACTTTGTCACTGTACATATTTCTCACCTTCTTTACCACAGGCTTGGCACTAGGAGCTTTCTTTGGAGCCATGGTAGCTTATTTAGTACTTGCAAGCACTAAAATGAGTGGAATATTATGAAATATTTCATAGGAGCACTTGAGGGAACCTTCATCACTGGTAAACAATGCCAGACTGGCTGGGTAGGGAGGCCGCCTTGGCTCACACCGTGCGTACGCGTCCCGGACAAACTACCATTCGCGAGTCAACCTATGAAAAGCGAGTCCATGTTTATACGAAAATACCCCTATGATTGGCGAAATTTACGATTGCTGAGAACTACGAAAAGCGAGGGACCACTGTACAGTGGAACCTCGGCTTACGAATGCCCCACCATGCGAACTTTTCAGTATACTAACCGTCATTTGATCAATTTTTTGCTTCTGGATACAAATGAAATTTCAGGATGTGTACTTCTCCCTTAAGGGAGGTTCCTTAAATAAATAAATAAATAAAATATAAAATACTTATTAGTAGGTAGTAGGTTGGTAGACCAACCACCCAGGGAGGTACTACCATCCTGCCAAGTGAGTGTATAACGAAAGCCTGTAATTGTTTTACATGTTGGTAGGATTGCTGGTGTCTTTTGTCTGTCTTGTAAATATACAAGATTACAGGTATGTCTTGCTACTTCTACTTACACTTAGGTCACACTACACATACATGTACACATTTATTTATACACACTCCTCTGAGTTTTCTTTGATTTTATCTTAATAGTTCTTGTTCTTGTTACTTTTCCTTTTATATCCATGGGAAAGTGGAATAAGAATCTTTCCTCCGTAAGCCATGCTTGTTGTAAAAGTCAACTAGGATGCCGGGAAAAATGGGCTGGTAACCCCTTTTCCTGTAATAATTACTAAAAAGAATAAGAAAAGTGTCAAATTGGGATGTCTGTGTGTGGATGTTGTGTGAATGATAAGAAAGAGATGATTGTGGATGTTATGAATTAGAAGAAGCTGGATGTCCTGGCATTAAGTGAAACAAAGCTGAAGGGGGTGGGAAAGTTTCAGTGGAGAGGAATAAATGGGATTAGGTCAGGGGTTTCAAATAGAGTTAGAGCTAAAGGAGGAGTAGCAGATCTAAAGGAGGAGTAGCAATAATGTTGAAGGATAAGCTATGGCAGGGAAAGAGGGACTATAAATGTATAAATTCAAGGATTATGTGTTGTAAAATAAAGGTTGGATGTGAAAAGTGGGTTATAGTAAGCGTGTATGCACCTGGAGAAGAGAGAAGTGTAGAGGAGAGAGAGATTTTCGGAAATGTTTAGTGAATGCGTGCGGAGTTTTGAACCAAGTTTGGGAGTACTTGTGGTTGGGGATTTCAATGCTAAAGTGGGTAAAAATATTGTGGAGGGAGTAGTAGGTAAATTTGGGGTGCCAGGGGTAAATGAAAATGGGGAGCCTTTAATTGAGCTATGTGTAGAAAGAGGTTTGGTAATAAGTAATACATATTTTATGAAAAAGAGGATAAATATACAAGGTATGATATAGCATGCAATGAAAGTAGTTTGTTAGATTATGTATTGGTGGATAAAAGGTTGATGGGTAGGCTCTAGGATGTACATATTTATAGAGGGGCAACTGATATATTGGATCATTATTTAGTTGTAACTACAGTTAGAGTAAGAGGTAGTTGGGACAAGAGGAAAATGGCAACAAGAAGTAAGAGGGAGGTGAAAGTGTATCAACTAAGGGAGGAGGAAGTTTGGGCGAGATATAAGCAACTATTGGCAGAAAGGTGGCCTGGTGCAGGTATGAATAGTAGGGGGGAGGGGTTGAAGAGGGTTGGAATAGTTTTAAAAATGCAGTATTAGAATGTGGGGCAGAAGTTTGAGGTTATAGGAGGGTGGTTGCAGGAGGAAAGAGGAGTGATTGGTGGAACGATGAAGTAAAGGGTGTGATAAAAAAGAAAAAGGTAGCTTATGAGAGGTTTATACAAAGCAGAAGTGTAGAGTATATGGAGAGTGAAAGAAAGGTGAAGAGAGTGGTGAGAGAGTGCAAAAGGAGAGCAGATGATAGTGGGAGAGGCACTGTCAAGAAATTTTAATGAAAATAAAAAAAAGTTTGGAGTGAGTTAAACAAGCTGAGAAAGCCTAGAGAATGAATGGATTTGTCAGTTAAAAACAGAGTAGGGGAGTTAGAAGATGGAGAGATGGAGGTTTTGAGTAGATGGCAAGAATATTTTGAGGAACTTTTAAATGTCGACGAAGAAAAGGAAGCTGTAATTTCATGCTCTGGCCAGGGAGGTATACCATCTTTTAGGAGTGAAGAACAGGATGCGAGTGTGGGGGAGGTGCGTGAGGCATTACATAGAATGAAAGGGGGTAAAGCAGCTGGAACTGACGGGATCATGACAGAAGTGTTAAAAGCAGGGGGGGATATAGTGTTGGAGTGGTTGGTATTTTTGTTTAATAAATGTATGAAAGAGGGGAAGGTACCTAGGGATTGGCAGAAAGCATGTATAGTCCCTTTATATAAAGGGAAGGGGGAGAAGAGAGATTGTAAAAATAATAGAGGAATAAGTTTAATGAGTATACCAGGAAAAGTGAACGGTAAGGTTATAATTGAAAGAATTAGAGGTAAGACAGAATGTAGGATTGCGGATGAGCAAGGAGGTTTCGGAGTGGGTAGAGGATGTGTAGATCAAGTGTTTACATTGAAGCATATATGTGAACAGTGTTTAGATAAAGGTAGGGAATTTTTTATTGCATTTATGGATTTAGAAAAGGCATATGATAGAGTGGATAGGGGAGCAATGTGGCAGATGTTGCAAGTATATGGAATAGGTGGTAAGTTACTAAATGCTGTAAAGAGTTTTTATGAGGATAGTGAGGCTCAGGTTAGGGTGTGTAGAAGAGAGGGAGACTACTTCCCGGTAAAAGTAGGTCTTAGACAGTGATGTGTAATATCACCATGGTTTAATATATTTATGGATGGGGTTGTAAAAGAAGTAAATGCTAGGGTGTTCGAGAGAGGGGTGGGATTAAATTATGGGGAATCAAATACAAAATGGGAATTGACACAGTTGATTTTTGCTGATGATACGTGCTTTGGGAGATTGTAAAGAAAATTGCAAGGTTAGGGGATGGTTTGGGGGTGTGTTAAGGTAGAAAGTTGAAAGTGAACAAGAAAAGAGTAAAGTGATGGGGAGTATCAAATGATTTAATAAAAAAAAAAATTTGGATATCAAATTGGGGAGGATATAGGGAAAGAATGAATGTTTTCAGATATTTTGGGAGTTGGTGTCGGTGGAGGTTTTATGAAGGATGGGGTTAATCTAGAATTGATGAGGGGAAAAAGGGAGTGGTGCATTGAGGTATTTTGTGGATAAAAAAAAACTTATTATGGAGGCAAAAAAGGGGAATTATAAAAAGTATAGAAGTCCACCCCTTTATTGGGTGTGAAGGGGGTTGTGAAACAGCCCCGGGGGGCAGTTGGAGGAGTGGGGTGTCCTTCTAAGGGCAATGTGTGGTGTAAATATTATGCAAAAATTCAGAGTGGGGGGAATTAGGGGGAAGATGTGGATTAAAAGTATTGTCAGAGGGCTAAAGAGGGGTTTTGAGGTGGTTTGGTAATTTAGAGAGAAGGTCAAAGTGAATACATGGGACTTTTTAAAATCTGTGGGGAAAGGAAGGCGGGGTTGGGTGTTTTTGAAAAGGTTGGAAGGAAGGGGGAAGGGGGGTTTTTGGGGGGCGAGGGGTTGGAATTCCAGAGGGTGCATGGGTTTCGATTGGAGGAAAGGAGACTAATGGGATTTGGGGCCTGCGATCTGTTGGAGTGTGAACAGGGTAAATTTAATGAAGGAATTCGGGAAATGGTTTGTTTTTTTAAAAGGACTGATCCTGGGAAAAGGTTACAATGCCCGCATCTTAAGGGGGATTGGGTATTTGCAGTTTGGGGGGGGATATTGTGTATCTTTAACGTTTGCTTCTAAACTGTTTTTTCTGGCACCCCTGCAAAAACATGATTTTGTGAGTGAGGTGAAAGGTTAATATGAAAGTATTTTCTTTTTGGGTCACCCTGCCTCGGTGGGAGACGGCTGACTTGTTAAGAAAAAAAAAAAAGATCCAGGAGCATACAAAGAAGTACTTTATTCATAGAACAGGTGGGGTTCAAACCCATGGCAGACAAGTGCTAAAACTCCCAGGTCGTTGGGGTTAACCACTGGTCCATGCCTCCCCAACAAGGTTCATCCATTTAGGTATACTGTATTTTTATATACCATAGGAAGGTTAGCTTAGGCCCAACTGTGATCACAAATATAATTTTTTTTTTTTTAACAGATGAATTCCACACCAGCATGACTGCAGCATGATCTAGCTCTAAGTTCCCTTAAATCCACCATCATGACTCGTGAAATTGTAATAACATGATTGCAAACCTTTGTTTGATATCTTTGTAATTTGAGATTTCATGAGCAAAGAGGCACTTTTCTGGTGACATTATTGTGCAGATATTTTTCTGCATTTTAGTGGGGAAATGAGAAATAGAGTGAGATCATCATGTTATGCATCTTTAAATGTAAAAAAATTTCAAAGACATTGTTCAGCTGGTCAGTTAAACTATGATTTCTTTACTCTGTTCCTTGATTTAGGTTTCAGGAGCATGTAAAGAAGCATTTGCCAAGTGAAATTGTTGGAGTAGATGAATTTTTGAGCTTACGGCGTGAAGTGCTGGCAGAGCTAAATAGATCAGACATAGAGACTCCAGATGAAGCGCCTCCAGGTGTTGAGGCAGCCCCAGGGGATGAACAAGTCGGGACAAATGTGGTAAGCCTCAATGCAGTTTTGTTTGTTGGCATTAGCAGCTTTTAGAAATGGGAAAAATTTATAATAGCCATCAGTGATAATGGATGCTAGAGAATGAATGTGTTAGAAAGGATTGTATACAAAAGAATCCTTGATAATGGGGAAAACTCTTGGAATGTCCAATTAACTAGCTTTTTTACTTTAAATTGTTGATTTGTCACTTACACTCCATCCCTCAGTTGTTTGCTTCCAAAATGTTTTACATGTGTTGCTAGGTATCATGTGCCTTAATTTGACCATCCCTTAACCCTTCTTCTATACCTTCCATGTGAACCAGGCACAATTGGATGGCATTGCACTGCATGCAAATATATTTACTCTTTTCAGTTTGTGTCCATGTTTGCAGTCTATTTAGGTAACTTGTTAGTGAATGAAAGATGTTCATGGACATAAATTATTTTGTTGCATACCTCGTGTCATTTCCAAAATTATATTAAATTGCTCTAATAGGTGCAGCTGCATCTTGCAAATGTATATGCATTTTCAGTTTGTTTAGCTGTTTGTTGTTATACAAATCTTTTTCAAATGTTTGTATATTGGTAAATAAGGGTGAACATGAAGCTCGTTTGAAAAATCATAATCTTGTATTGATGCAAAAATAGATTTTTAGATTCTGTCATGGCAATAGAATGCAATCTGTGTGTTTGAATGGTGCTGGAAAATGCCTAACATTAAAAAAGAGGTTAGTAAATTCACTGCTGTAAGTAGGTAATAAGACATACAGCCATGAATGGAATCTTTTAAGGAAAGGGATGTCGCATTCTTTAATTAGGTAATCTAACTTGTTCTCGCCTAAACTTGCCCATTGTATACAGCAATGCAAATGTATTGGTCCCAACCTTCCCCCCTTCTTTTCATATTTTTTGTTTATGAAAAACTATGAATTAATGATATTTGAAAGCATGTAAGGGGAACCCTACTTGCATATTTATCCAACGTGCTTTTGGTATTAGGTCCCAGTTCCTGAGTCTGCCTCTTGAATTATCTAGTAAAATGCTTGGTTGGCGCTGGGTTACATTTCACGTGGTGCTGCACACTGAGTACGGTAATCAAGGTCTCCCCCCATGCAATGTTTTCCGAAAATTTTCATAAAAAATAGTTCAGAACTTGGAACCTTTTTCCCCAAAAAACCCATGTTGTACGTAATTGGAAGGTTCCTGAGCCTAATATTCTTAACCAATTTTTTTACCGCTATTATCATTCAATATTTTCCTGTTTTTTTATAAATATAGTGAAACTCTCATTTTTCTGACTAATGGCAAAGAAGGTGTTTTGTTAGTTGTTTATTAAATCTGAATGGGGTTTGTTTTTCCATGAAAACAGTAATGGACAATTCGGGACCTAATAGGCTTTGTCCTTTAAAATCCAGAATTAACGGGGCTTTTTAAAATCTGCAACAAAAAAGGAAAAAATGGATATAATGGATATTGATAAATTCGAATTATCAGCAAGTGTAACTGAAATTAGATGCAAGGCTTCCATTTAGCCCCAAAATAAAAACCCGGGGACTGTCCAACTAAATGTTGTTTCCAAGTGCTTTTTGTTTTAGATTTTGTCCATAAAATTTCAAACGTAAATTGGGGTCGGTAAATAGAGATTTTACTTTTTTTTTAATTTTGTATAATGTACAGTACACAGTACAAGTGTAGGAATGAGCATAGCTGGACTCTTCTTGCTTTCCAAAAACAAGTAATTTTTTAAATTTCATTCTTGACCAATTACCAACAGAAAGCTTTCACACTTCGTGAAAAGAAAAAACACAAAATACCAATGCATTTGGTTAAAAAAAGGAGGAAAAAATGTAATTCACCTTAAGAAAATTTTAATTATTAAAAATTTAAGTTTTTGACCAAACTCTTTCAAACAAAAAAGGCCGCCCTCCCAAAAACCGGCAATCAGTTATTTGGTTCCTTCATTTTCGGGACAATTTTGGCAGCTTTTTTCAAATTCCAGGGGCGCAAAACCAACCTGCTGGACTGTTGGTGGCTACTTGCTGCATAAGTCATTCCATTTCTTTTCTCCATTAATTTTTTTTAACCTGCTTACTTTTTTGCCCGCCATGGTTTCAATGAGTAAAAGAAAATGCTTCTCATTGTAAAACACCTGCACGTACATTATCCATTAAAGTAAGGGGTTTTAAGCCACTGCGGTTGCCATAGCTCATCCGTGAAGCAGGGGAATATCTTTATTATTTGCTAAAACAAAACACAGCTTTTTTGCCTATCACAAAATTTAGCTAATTGACATAAGAAAAAATATAAATAACAAAAACGTTAAAACTCCCCAAAAAAATAAAATTTGGGATAACACCGAGCAGTTCGACAGAGTTATGAAAGGGTATGGGAAAAAAATACCTTCTCCTACCTTGTCTTGGTGGCTTATATTAGGAAAAACCGAGTAAGCACAGGCTAAAATGTGATAACACTCGTACTGCACCCAAAAAATAAACAAAAATTATTTTTTCTCAAGATTTTTCAACACAGCAGCATACTGTAGTTAAGAACCTAGGGTAACCCCAAAAAAATCAATGGGCTTATTTTTGTACCGGCTTGGTTAGCCTATGTGATTTTTGGTTATTCGATTCCCACCAGGGTAAAAAAACATTAGGGGGTGTTTCTTTACACCTGTTGCTTTTTTGACCCATCAGTAAATGGGTCCCGGGTGTTTGTGACTAGGTGGTGTTTTTCCTGGGGCGCGAAACCTAATTTTCTTGAAAAAACTCAATAACAATGGGTTTCGTACGTAGTTTCACTGATGTCAAAAGGCCTTATACCTTTTAAGTACGGTAGTAAAAAAAGATTTTTTTTTTTTTTTTTCCTCAACAAGTCGGGCGTCTCCCACCGAGGCAGGGTGACCCAAAAAGAAAAGAAAATCCCCAAAAAGAAAATACTTTCATCATCATTAAACACTTTCACCACACTCACACATTATCACTGTTTTTGCAGAGGTGCCCAGGATACAACAGTTTAGAAGCATATACGTATAAAGATACACAACATATCCCTCCAAACTGCCAATATCCCAAACCACTCCTTTAAAGTGCAGGCATTGTACTTCCCATTTCCAGGACTCAAGTCTGACTATATGAAAATAACCGGTTTCCCTGAATCCCTTCACTAAATATTACCCTGCTCACACTCCAACAGATCGTCAGGTCCCAAGTATCATTCGTCTCCATTCACTCCTATCTAACACGCTCATGCACGCTTGCTGGAAGTCCAAGCCCCTCGCCCACAAAACCTCCTTTACCCCCTCTTTCCAACCCTTTCGAGGACGACCCCTACCCCTCTTTCCTTCCCCTATAGATTTATATGCTTTCCACGTCATTCTACTTTGATCCATTCTCTCTAAATGACCAAACCACCTCAACAACCCCTCTTCTGCCCTCTTGACTAATGCTTTTATTAACTCCACACCTCCTAATTTCCACACTCCGAATTTTCTGCATAATATTTACACCACACATTGCCCTTAGACAGGACATCTCCACTGCCTCCAACCGTCTCCTCACTGCTGCATTTACCACCCAAGCTTCACATCCATATAAGAGTGTTGGTACTACTATACTTTCATACATTCCCTTCTTTGCCTCCATAGATAACGTTTTTTGACTCCACATATACCTCAACGCACCACTCACCTTTTTTCCCTCATCAATTCTATGATTAACCTCATCCTTCATAAATCCATCCGCCGACACGTCAACTCCCAAGTATCTGAAAACATTCACTTCTTCCATACTCCTCCTCCCCAATTTGATATCCAATTTTTCTTTATCTAAATCATTTGATACCCTCATCACCTTACTCTTTTCTATGTTCACTTTCAACTTTCTACCTTTACACACATTCTCAAACTCATCCACTAACCTTTGCAATTTTTCTTTAGAATCTCCCATAAGCACAGTATCATCAGCAAAAAGTAACTGTGTCAATTCCCATTTTGAATTTGATTCCCCATAATTTAATCCCACCCCTCTCCCGAACACCCTAGCATTTACTTCTTTTACAACCCCATCTATAAATATATTAAATAACCATGGTGACATTACACATCCCTGCCTAAGACCTACTTTTACCGGGAAGTATTCTCCCTCTCTTCTACACACCCTAACCTGAGCCTCACTATACTCATAAAAGCTCTTTACAGCATTTAGTAACTTACCACCTATTCCATAAACTTGCAACATCTGCCACATTGCTCCTCTATCCACTATCATATGCCTTTTCTAAATCCATAAATGCAATAAAAACTTCCCTACCTTTATCTAAATACTGTTCACATATATGCTTCAATGTAAACACTTGATCTACACATCCCCTACCCACTCTGAAGCCTCCTTGCTCATCAGCAATTCTACATTCTGTCTTACCTCTAATTCTTTCAATTATAACCCTACCGTATACTTTTCCTGGTATACTCAGTAAACTTATTCCTCTATAATTTTTATAATCTCTTTTGTCCCCTTTCCCTTTATATAAAGGGACTATACATGCTCTCCCGCCAATCCCTAGGTACCTTCCCTCTTTAATACATTTATTAAACAAAAGTACCAACCACTCCAACACTATATCCCCCCCTGCTTTTAACATTTCTGTCATGATCCCATCAGTTCCAGCTGCTTTACCCCCTTTCATTCTACGTAATGCCTCACGTACCTCCACCACACTTACATTCTGCTCTTCTTCACTCCTAAAAGATGGTATACCTCCCTGGCCAGTGCATGAAATTACCGCCTCCCTTTCTTCCTCAACATTTAAAAGTTCCTCAAAATATTCTCGCCATCTACCTAATACCTCCCTCTCCCCATCTACTAACTCCCCTACTCTGTTTTTAACGGACAAATCCATACTTTCCCTAGGCTTTCTTAACTTATTTAACTCCAAAATTTTTTCTTATTTTCATTAAAATTTTTTGACAGTGCCTCTCCCACTCTTTCATCTGCTCTCCTTTTGCACTCT